AATAATAATAATAATAATAATAATAATAATAATAATAATAATAATAATAATATCATTAAACAGATGGAGAGCTTTCCTAGCAAGATTTTCATTTTAGTTTGGGAGGGTTACCATCGTAATGTACATCGGCAAAGATTAAAAAAAAAACAGGGTTCTTTGCTGTTTCTGGCATTAGCAAGATTATTAAGCACACCATACTTCAGAAAGCAGCTCAGGGAAGACTTAACTGCTGACACTCACGTGCAAAATGGAAACCTTCACCTCGGAGCTTTACCGATTTTCGCGCGTCGAGCGAAACCAGCCCGACCAAAGGCGAAATAGAAACGAGCCGTCTTGAGGCTGAAAAGGACCAGATCCAACCCACTCCGTGGAAGAGACCGAAGCCCCGCGGGGCAGGTTTCGACCAGAGACCCCCATCACGCGCTCCCCCACCTAATCACCGGTGGCGCGGGAGCCCGGAGAGAATCCTAAAAGTAAAAAAAATAAAATAAAAAAATCAAATCCCGGCTTGCTTCCTTTACCTCTGATGCCGCTGAAGGCGGAGAAGGCGATCCAAAGCCCCAGCAGGAGCTGCTGGGCGCTCGATCTCTCCATGAGGTTCCCTCCGACGCCGGATCCCTGTCCCGTCCCGTCCCGAACTCCGCGGCTGTTTTGGTGTTTTTGCTCTTCTCGCAGGGATTGATGGAAGTCGGTGAGCGGGTGACTCAGTGCCCTCCGCCCCCTTCGTTCCCCGGGGACTCAAGCCTTCCAGTTACGCCCGGCCTCCACGTGTTCCAGCCGGCCAGCCAATGGGGAGAAGACGGCCCCGAGGAAGCCAAAAGGGAGTAGGCGGGCTTGGCTCCCTCCCACCCACCCACAAAGCCGCCTCTTTTGGCTCGGATGAGCTTGGCTGATGGACCGGGCTGGGCAGCTAACCGTCAACTTTTCCAAACGAGAAAAAAAAAATCGGTGCGCTTTTTTCCAGGGATGGTCTTAGCCATTGCGCGCAGCGGCGCGTGATTTATTAGCCGGATTCACGCAACTCCCTGAGAACTAGACTAATGCTCAATAAGAACTGACCCTGAACTGGGCTAATTCCCCCCCTGAATATAGGTCAGCGTCTGCCAGCACAAGCCAACGGGCTTTTCAGGTTAACACATATTTGGGACTCAGCTTTTTCTACCCTGCACGTAGCAGAGGTTGTATTCAGCAGGTTCTGACCAGTTCTGGAGAACCTGTAGCGGAAATTTTGAGTAGTTCAGAGAACCAGCAAATACCACTTCTGACCCCCATCTATTCTCTGCCTCCCATTGAGTCCCAGCTAATCGGCTGGGTCTTCTTTTGTTGCCCTGCACAGGAGAAGGAGCTAGAAAGCAGGTTAGTGGGGTGGGGAGGGACTGGGATTTTGCAGAAATCTTCCCCTGCCACACCTACCAAGCCACACCCACAGAACCGGTAGTAAAAAAAATGGAATCCTACCACTGACAGGTAGCCCTAGAGTTAACCAAGCAGTTGAGTTCAACATTTACGTTGCTAAGTGAAACATTTGTCAAGTGAGCGTTTGCCCCCATTTTATGGCTTTTCTCTTGCCAGAGTTGTTAAGTGAATCGCTGCAGTTCTTAAATTAGTCCCAGGGTTGTTGAGTGAATCTGGCTCTTCCCCATTGACTCTGCTTGTCAGAAGTCTCAAAAGGGGATTATGGGGCCCACTGGGCAAGCCAACCATCATAAAGACAAACCAATTGCCAAGCACCTGAATTTTGATCACATGACCACGTGGGATGCTGCAATGGTTGTAAGTGTGAAAAACGGTCATCGGTCACTTTTTTTCCAGTGCTGTTGTAACTATGATGTGTCACTAAATGAATTATTGTAAGCTGAGGACCTATACTTCAACCCCTGCTTGGCACAGTGGTCTAATTGTTCTATGGCTTTTATTATTACATTGTGACCCATGGCAGTTAAAAGAGGAATGTGGTGGCTCAGTGGCTAAGACGCTGAGCTTGTTGATCAGAAAGGTCGGCAGTTCGGCAGTTCAAATCCCTAGTGCTGTGTAATGGAGTGAGCTCCTGTTACTTGTCCCAGCTTCTGCCAACCTAGCAATTTGAAAGCATGTAAAAAAATACAAGTAGAAAAATAGGGACCACTTTGGTGGGAAGGTAACAGCATTGCATGCGCCTTCAGCATTTAGTCATACCAGCCGCATGACCTCGGAGACATCTTCGGACAGCACTGGGTCTTTGGCTTTGTAACAGAGATGAGCACTGCCCCCTAGAGCCGGAAACGACTAGCACGTACATGCGAGGAGAACCTTTACCTTTGCTTTAACCCGTGTAAGAGCTCAAGTTTTAATTGCTCTTGCTGGGAGATTTGTAGCGCTCCAGATATTGTCAGACTAGAACTTCCAATTATTGCTTCCACATCAGTGTTTTGTCTCTAAGCAAAACGCTCATTACACCAGCCTGCAGGACCTGTTGGGGCCTAATCTTCCTAGGAGCCATTGACCCACATTTTTGAATAGGGTGTGGCCAAAGCCTTCAATCATTCTCCATGCAGGAATAGTGTAGAAATTAGTCAGATGCTCTGTTGCATCTCTGTATGAGTCACTGGACTAGCTGGCTAGCTTCCTAACTGGAAGCACTTGCTTATGCAAACATGCAGAGAATGGTTGTTGTTTTGGGGGCCTTCTTAATTTTCAGATAAAACAATTTGGGACTCCCTTCGGCCACGGATTGTTTTATATCTTTTCAGAGATATTTCCTTCCCAGATTCCTCAGGGTCTTCAGCACTGGCTGAGCTTCCGATTTTCTTTAAACATTCTTTAGGATTCATTTTATGCCATGTCATATTTTTATAAAAGTTGCCAAATTTGAATCCCACAGGGAAATATTTAGAGAGGTATATTTGCCTGGAAAGTAGTTTGTTTTAAACTGCATAGCATGGTCAAACATCAGCAGGAAATGTTGGTGACATTTGGTATTATTGCATAAAATGCTTTGTGATTAATGTTACGCCATGTCATGTTTTGTAAAACTTGCCCAATTTGAATTCCACACGGGTCCCAGAGTTTTGATGTGCTCTGTAAGTTGGTCCATTTGAGGTCCCTTGCTTCCCAAATTTTTACTCTGATGCACCATTTCTCCCAGTTAAAAGTTACAGACATGTGAGGTTTTTTTTATTAAAAGTTCTTATTTTTATATACAAAAATCCATTCCATTTCAATCGTGTGTCAATTAGGTACATATTTCAAGTGCTTAACAATTACTAGTAATAATCTTCTTTTCAATATTACAGTATAACAATAGTCACGTTTCCATATATATAACATAAGTAGTATCCAATATATCTACTAGTTTCTCTTATTGCTTTATAGATACATATAGTCCCTTTTAGTTTACTTACTTTCTACCCATTGGTAAAATAAGTCCCATACAATGTAGTATTCAGATTCTTCTTTTTCTTTGATTTCTAATGTTAATCTATTCATTTCTGCACATTCAAATATTTTTTCAATTATTTTTCCCTATATTATCACTTTTCCAGTTTTGAGCAAATACAATTCTAAGACATGTGAGTTTTAATAGGAAAGAAATAATGCATGGAAGTTTGATCAGGGAACACCGGAAATTGGGAATATTTAATCTAATGAAGAGAAAGGCTAGGGATGACATGACAGTAATCTTCCAATATTTGAGGAGCTACTACAGAAAGGAGAGGTCAACCTATTCTCCTGTTGTGGTTAGCCGGCAGCAGGTGCAAACGGCTGAGGAGAGTGAGGACTCCGATCAGGGGCCAGGAGCATTAGGGAGTGGACTGCTGCCTTCAGAGATTGTGCGGGCTGGCAGCAGCAATGAGGAGGTTCCCGAGGAGCTTGTGCCAAGTGCGCATGCGCACAGGATTGCTCGCAGGAGAGAGCAGCTGCAACAGCACGGGCGACTCGGGAGTAAGGCTGCAAGGTAATGACCCCTCCTTCAAGAAAATAAAAGGCAGCTGTGCAACGAACATTCTTTGTAGGAAACAAAGTCGTTTTGAAACTCAGCCTCATGGACATTACAATTGGTATTTGAAGACTCTTGTGTTGCAAACTATTTCTTATCTGTTGTTTTTTGGCACACTTGCAAAAACTTGGCAAGGCTCTTTCTTGTCGGAGCTAATTAGTTGGAAGCAGCCTTTTATCTGTGAAAAAACAGAATTCATATATGAAACATTAAAAGGTTGGGCTGCTGCCTTTGTCTTGTGTTTGCTCTCTTGGAAACAGGTTTGGGTTAGAACATCTCCAAAGCATCTTGAGGGCAGGACAAGAATAGATGGAAACTTATCAAGGAGAGATTCAACCTAGGACTAAGGAGAAATTTCCTGACAGTGAGGAAATTAGTGGAATGACTTGCCTTCAGAAGTTGTGGGTGCTCCAACACTGGAGGTTTTCAAGAAGAGATCTCCGAACAGCCATTTGTCTGGAAAGGGTTGGACTAGAAGACCTCCAAGGTCCCTTCCAACTCTGTTATTCTGAATTCTGGGTCATAGAGATATGGAAATCCTCAGGAGTGGAAAAGAGAAGTGACAAAGAAACAAAGGGCAAAAAAAGGTAAATCCAAGTTTATGCCCAACTAAAAATTGCCTGCAGCTAATGATTCCTCATTTAAAGCCACATCAAAAAACTTGCTTAGCAAATCTTTTCATAATCTGTAATTAAGATAGACTGTTTTACAGAAGTGTCTCCACTCTTTTGAGCTGAACCCAAAAGAAATCAAATTTCTAGTTCCTGATACTCAACATGAAACACAACTTCAATGTTTGCGTAGTCTCTACATTTTTAAAAACAGAAGTACAAGAAAAACCAGAGGTTTCTTGAATGCCTATTTATTCACTTTGATTGTGGAAAGCATATTAAAAAAATTTTTAAAACAAAACAGATTTTTTAAAAGTGTTATTATGAAAACTTTTGGGAAAAGTTTACACATCTACTACTAGATGTTTTGATGATGAAAAAATGGGATAAAAGCAATAAATATTGTTAACTTCTATTATTAAGCCAACCAACTACCTATTATAAAAAAAGATGTTTCCCAGCTATTAAAACAAATTGCTCTCTTTCTTTAATCTGCCTGAGGCCCAGATTCTATTACTGAAGTTAAATAAGAATAAATCCTATCAAATCAATAACAAATGTATTGAAAACCAACTATTTACATAAATAACTTACTGGGGGGGAGGCAACTCCCTTCTTGAAAAAGCCAATCTATTATGATTAATTAAGCTACATATATTTCATTAAAAGTATTTTGCACTCCTTACTCCAGAGGTGGTATTCAGCAGGTTCTGACCAGTTCTGGAGAACCGATAGCGGAAATTTTGAGTAGTTTGGAGAACCGGCAAATACCACCTCTGACTGCCCCCCCCCCCATCTATTCTCTGCCTCCCAAGTCCCAGCTGATTGGCTGGATCTTCTTTGATTGCCCTGCACAGGAGAACGGAGCTGGAAAGCAGGTTAGTGGGGTGGGGAAGGAAGGGGGATTTTTCAGTAACCTTACCCCTGGAATGGAGGGAATGGAGATTTTACATTATCCTTCCCCTGCCACGCCCACCAAGCTACACCCACCAAGCCACGCTCACAGAACCAGTAGTAAAAAAATTTGAATCCTACCACTGTGGGCTTACTCTATTGAGAAATAGAAAATATGCCAGAAAAAAAACCTCTCGCAAGCATCAGATATGGGAGGTCCTTTTTATCAGAGGCTATTGATTTTAACTGAA